AAAAAAACGAATCAAACAAACCATTCTTCTTAATAATAATAATATTTTTCGTGTTATTAACTCATTTCGGTTGTTGTTTGGGTTTTTATCGTTTCTCTCTTATTCTCTCTTGGTGTCATCATCATTCGTTATGACGGGTTATTTTTTTGTTTGTTTCATTGCTGCTGTTTATCGTTTTATTAGATTTTGTTACAAATTTTCTCTTTTTCTTTTTCCATAATAATAATGATGATAATACATAATCATAATGGTGGTGGTGGTGGTGCCCAGTTCTTTTTTATATAAGATGTATTACCCGACCATTTTTTTGTTTTTCATTGGAAATAATAAAAGAAAAAAAACATGAATTTCGGTTATTGCTTCGGTTATTTATTTATATCTCGTTGACTTTTTCGGACAATGTGAGAATTCTTCTTCAACAGAAAAATCACATTACCCAAACGAATTGACACCCAATTTTCCAGAAATTTTCTCTCGTTTTCGTTCTTGTTTTCCAAAATTGTTTTTTTCTCTTCTTTTCAGAACTAAAATGATAGATTGATGGTCAGAATTTTTTATTGTCCAGCTGAATTTGTTGTTGTTGTTGTTGTTGTTGTTATTGTCCGAATATTATAATTTTTCAATATATATGCAAAACATACATACACATTATAGAATTCTTATTTGTAAAATTCTTGTCCCGAATTTGTAATGACAACAGAAAAATTCGTTCACAAAATGCTTGTCAGTCGCACACTTAACACGAAGGAACAGATTTTTTTTCTTTCTTTCTTGCTGTGTTCTTTCAAGAGGAAAAACTTTTTATTTTCCTTATTTCCTACCCTTTTTTCACATTTTTCACATTTTTGGTTTTTAAAGTAAAAAAATCATTTTAACCCAAATTTTTTTAGAGAAGAAGGTCAACAAATTCCTGTTTTCTATATTGATGTCTTTTCTTTTTTGTTGGTTGTCATTTAAAAAATTGTTGTAATGTAGGGTAGTAGGATGGTGAAAAGTTTCTCGGAAAGATTCAATCCGATTAGCGAAAAAAAAACATGACCGAATTTTTTTTTTTTTTTTTTTTGATAAAGTTTTTTTCCTGTCAAACAAGAAAAAAATTAACTTTAAATTTTTTGAATCAAAGTTGAAAAAAATGTAGCAAAAAAAAAACAAGATTTTAGAATCGATTGGATCATCATCGTAATAATCAATGATTTACATAAGAAACTTTTTTTGGGAAAAAAGTTTTTTTCGAAAACTTTCTTCTGGAAACTTTCCCAATCTAATGGCATCAATTTTTGTTGTTGTTGTTTAATTGTGTTTAAATTCATCGATTAGCCTGATGAAAATATTAAAAACAGAAAAAATGTCATCACCATTAGCTTCGGGAATTTACGCGCTTCGATTACTTGCTTTGTTTTAACACTTTGTTTTACCGTTCGTTGTTTGTTTGTTTTGCAATTTAAATCACTGTTCCAGAAACAAGCCAAAAATAAAATGAACATTTCTTGTTCGTTAACACACAGTGAGAGAATGGCATTATTGGCTTTTTTCATTCATTCATTCTGGGTTATTTTATTTTAGTTTTTTTAATTGAATCTCTCACTCGCAAAATGCTTCATTTGTTTGCAATAATAACCCTTCATTGTTTCGTTGATTATGAAATCCACTTAACCAACAAAATAAAAAAAAACAGCAGAAAAAAAGTGTTTTTCACTCATTGCACTCGAGCTTAATTGTATTTCGACAATTTTCAATCCAAAAAAAGGGTAATTATATTCAACCAGCAAAGCAAAAAACAAGAGAAATTCACAAATGACAAACACAGTCAAAAAATGAAAATTATTCGTTTTTTTTACGTTAACCAATGAAAACAAAATATATTCATTTTTCCCCCCTTTGAAGATGATTAGGGTTATTTTTTCTGACCATTTTTTTTATCACGATATTTATTCATTCATTCAATCATAACATTCAAACTTGCTAATTTAATTAATTTTTATCATCGATTCTGTTGGGCGCCCATAATAATAATATCATGATGGTAATAATATTAACACTATATTACCCATTTTATGATTATGTCTTTGGTCATTTGGTGTTGATTTTTTTTTTTTTTTTTTTTGGTTGATCGATTTGATTTTGGGCAATGGAAAGAAGAAATTGAAAAACAAAATAAAAGTAAAGTAAACAAGAAAAACAGAGAAACGCAAAGAAAAACTGTATATTCCCAATTGGGAATTTTTCCGGAAAAATTCCTTGAAGCTCTTTTTTTTGATCATTTTTCTTATTGATTCTTTCGATTCATTTCGATATTTGCCTAAATCAACAATAATATCCTCTCGCTAGTCATCATCATCATCAATAGTTTTTTTCGCCAATTTTCCCGAAATTCTTCTTTCTCTTCGAAGAAGAAAATATTCTTGTCATTTCAAATGCAATAAGTTTGAAAGAGGGGGGAAAATTTTCCTTTTCTTAACAGAAAGTTTCCAAGGAATTTAGCTCCGAATTTCCAATCCGTTTTTTCAATTTTTATTATTTTTATTTTTGTTTTTTGTTAACACTTCAAGATAACTGTCAAAAATAACTCCGTGTGTAACTCAGTGTTATTCTTCGTTTCTTTATCACTTTTCTTTCAATTTTATTTTTTTGTTTATTTGTCTGATCCAAAATGAATCCAGCCAAATGATGATGATCGAAACTGATGTGTGTGTGTGTGTGTGTGTGACACGAGCACCAGCTTGTCGAAAGAAAATTTTATTTTATTTATTTTTTCTTAAAGAATATTTTTGGAAAGTTTCTGGTTGGCTTTCCTTTTTTTTCAACATTGTTTCAACATTCGTTGTTGATGATAATGATGACGATAAACGATCAAATGAAATGTTGTTGTTGTTGTTGATGGAAATCGTGATCGAATTTAGCTTTTTTTCTTATCTTGCCAGAATTTTCTTTCTTCTTCTTCTGATCGGCCATTAATAGAATCGATCATCAAATCTTTATTTTTTTTCTTTTCGGAAATTTTCTCCTATTTCATCACACTTTTCTTAATTCTTTTTTCCCTTTTTCTATTTCGACATTTGTGTGTTTGTTTGGTTTGGTTGAAATCATTTTCGGTTGGAAAATGGTCGATCGAAATTTATTTTTCTAACGAAAATTTTAACGAAAAACCCGGATGACATAATCTTAACCCTCACTTACTCTCTCTCACACAATGTCATTAAATAAGTTTTTCTCAAAAAAAAAATTTCTTTCTTTTAAAGAAAAAAATCGATTTCCAATCAATCCGATTGATAATCATCATCATCAGATGAAAAAGATGGATTTTTTAACAACCAACAACAACAACAACAACCAAACAAATTGACAACCTAAACATATGTCTCTCTGTTTTTATCACTCGGTGTGTTTTCTAGAAAATCTAAATTGAAAAAACCAAAAAAAAAAAGATTGAATTCTTGTCAACATCGAATCGATCGATCCGAAAGAAATGTCGTCTTTTCGAATCAAATCTGTCTCTGTCTTTCTCTGTGTGTTTGATCTATTTATAATTAATATTTCTGTCGAAAATATCTGTTCAGCTTTTCCTCGTTTGTTTGTTTGTTTTTCGATGACAAAGATGCTGTTGTTGTTGATAATGACATGTTCCATTCCAACACTTCTTTACAATTTGATATCTGATAATCATCGATGATGATGATCATCATCTTGAGACAAATCAAAATTCTGTGCTACCCTGTTTTTCTTTTTTTAATTAAAATATCATTTTTCTCTCTGCGTTCGTTACATAAGTTTTTTTTTTGGTTCACACATTCTGGTGGATTTGGCATTCACACAGGAAAACACTTGATGTCCGAATCATTTGCCGAATTTCTCTCTCTATCCATCATCAATAAACGAAAAGAAACCCAGAATTAAACGAAAGAAAAGCAAATGAAATGGTGATATTGATCCGAAAAGTTTTTCGCATCTCTCTCTCTCTCTCTCCTTCGATTCTTCGATGTTATTTGAGCTTACTTTGTGATGTGAGATCGAAAAATCATATCGGGAAAAAATAATAATAATAATTTTCCAAGAAAAAACTCGAACTAAACTAAACTCCATTGCATTCTCCTGATTTTCTCTGTAGATCCAATGGGGGAAAAACAAACGAACGAAATAAATATTCTTCGTTGTTTGGGTTGTAGTTTTTTCTCTGGTCGTCATTCATTTCATTTCATTTCATTCATCAATTTGTCATAATATATTAATATTACTGGATATGATGAATTATATGATGGTTATTTTCTTTTTTTTTCTCTCAAAAGATCGATGGCCAAAAGTATTTTACTTTACTTTACTTAACTACTGTATTTTGAATGAGAATATATTTTCATTGCAATTCCAGTAATGTTTTTTTTTCTTGTTTGGCCAACCCAATTTATCATCAAGGATTTTCTTTTTTTCTTTTCATTCTTTCTCAATTGTCTTTTCGGAATGTTTTTCTTCTTTTCTTGGAAATTTTCTCATTTTTCATCAAAATGCAATTTTTCTTTGATTATATTAATATCTTTGATGATTTAATTAATTTGAAATTCATTTTTCTCATTTTTCTTTCCCGGAAACTTTCCCAAAATAAATATATATAGATGTGCAAATCAAAAACATTGCTCAATACGTGCATCAAGTTTAATATTTGGTGATCCATGTCCAGGTACAGCCAAATATTTGGAAGTACATTATCGTTGTGTTTCAGGTAAGTGTTTTTTCTTTCTTTTTTTTCGTTTGCCATTCAAATTCCCCACATAATCACTAAGGGTTATTATTTTATCTGACTGAAAAAAATAACCCCGAATGTTTCAAAAAAAACAGCGAAAAAACTTTGAACGAAAAGAAAAAAAATTCCTCATAAATCTAGGAAACAAAAAGCGTGAAAACAGTTGAATGAAACAGGAGATGTATAATCTGATAGAAAAATAATGATAATAGTTTGATGTTGGTGATGAAAATCTCTAATCTAATCACAGTTCACATTCATCACTTTCAACTTTTTTCGTTATTCGCTGTTTTCCTGTGTATTTTTCGTTTTTGTTTTTACGTCGACGACGATGACGATAGAATCAAGTGTTAAGTGAAGAGCAAAAAAATTCATTCATTTTTTTTATTCCGGGTCGGTCATATCGTTGTTGATGATATTAACACTCTTACCACCATCACCAACGTTAAGGGCGTCGTAACTTGATCTTAATCATTATTTTCATTTTACTTTACTAGAACTAAAACAGCAGCAAAAAAACTAAATGAAGAATATTCTGTTTCTGCTCAAATTTCTTCTGGTTTAGTTTTTTCCGATTCTTTATTTCAGAAATGTGTTTTCTTGGTTATCGATTAATACTTTATCGATAATTTTTTTTCCTTCGTTTTTTTTTCAATTTGATTTTTGATTATTGGAATTTTCTTCATTGAATTAATTCATCATTCACTCAGCTAAATTCATATTTTTCTTTCGGTGAATCTTGTTGCAAACTTTCATCCACTTCTTGATCATCATTTATAATTGATGAATGTAATAAGATTGTTTTATGGGATTTATGCATCCACAGAATTGAAAAAAAGCGAGAATTGATAATGTTGTTTGTTGTTGTTTTTTTTCGTTTTCCTTTCACAATTTACATTGTATTAACACACACGTACCTACACAAACATCCAATGTATATCTTGTTTTTTTCCATTTCCAAATTTTTTTGTTAAATAATTTATTAATGTCCAATAACTAAGCTAAACAAAAACAAAAATGTGCATTTTGTGTGTGTGTGTAAAGAATTCATTCATTCATTTCCATTCACTATTACCATTACCATTTTCCATTGGTTTGTGTTTTATCACAGGAAAAAAAAGAAAGAAAAAATTTCATTCTTCTTCGTTTCGTTCAAGTCAATTCTTTTTCATAATTCTTTCATTGGCCGCTGTTCATTCATTCACAATTCACTTTTTTCATTCGTTTTTTCACTTGTTTTTCATTTTCATTTTTTATTATTACATTATAAATTTCTTTCTCTCTTGGATTCTGGATTCTGGATGATGATGATGATCATCATCATCATTATTAATATTATTAATATCGATCCAATATTTTGGTTGGTATTCT